AGCTGCGCATTTCGTAGATATACATCACATGCCGGGAGTAACCGAGTAAGAGTGTCGCGTTTCATGAAATTGGGGTATTTTATCTTTTTCCCCAATGGAATAAATCATCTCCTTCCGTATTAATTTGAATTTTTTGCCGAAAAATTGTTACTCGTAATTACTTTCATATTACCATGCATGAACGAGTGCATGCGTTCGAGCACGCGTGAGTATGAAGCTGCAACGATTATTTGCACCTTTAAAGATAATGTCCGGTTTGCGTTTGCGCATGGGTTCTCTGAAAATTGCCTAAATTTCGCATGTTTCGGATTCTTTTGGACACAGACCATAACTCCTATTCAATTAAAACCATAGGGAACATCGCTCATATAGGAAAGATTCGCGGACATTTTGTCGTATTTCATATCAAAGAAAATATCAGTTGAAAATATAAACAGAGCGTCTGTTAATATTACGACGTGACATCAGTTTTAAATGAAATGTTATTAGCTACTGTTTTTGTGTTTACACCTCTCCCTCATATCATCTCTTGCATTGTTAACAGATCCTGTTTTCTGACAGCCAGGGTAATCTCCGTTTCTCTGGTGGTTGTTACATTAAAAACAAAAACATCGCAAGTTGACGTTAATTGGAACATCTGGATGCCTTAACTCATAGCAAGGTCAAAATCTTAATAATTCTACCCAGGCATATCTTGTTTCAAACTACTTTTCAGTCGGTAAATTATAAATAATATGCAAAATAATCTATTGGTGAACAACCTTCTTGTTATAGCTTTCATTCTTTTGAAAGATCTATATTCCCTTACTAAGAACTTGGACAATTTTTTTATTATTAGGCCAAATCATTTAAAAATGTTTACTGATGATATATTAATAGTACGTCTGTTTCAAGTTTCATCACGCGACTTTACTTCATGGAATTACTGACAGACAAAATGAGACAAACACACGACCTGGGAAATGTTCGTGTTCTGCATTATTAGTTTCTTTTGAAATTGATTGCTTTTACGGACTGTTAACACGATTAGGCTATATGAATATTAGGCCCCCAATTAAGGATCTTCCGCAGCCCTGATACTATACAACCACGCACCATATTTTCGCTGTAAATGAACTTGCTGTTTTAAAAACCACTATAGGTGTTTTAATAGTAACAGACTAACAGTAGCAGCTCCGGGAAGTCATAATGGTGTTGAAAATTTGGGAACTTTGCACAGGTCTAAAAGTAAAAACGATCAGATGGTTGCAATATTGATATGAAATGAATTAAACAATATTGTGTTGCCCATATTGTTCTCAGTACGCGATCATCATAAACAATATTCAATATTGTTACACTCAATTCTGTTTCAACAGTACTAGTCTGTAGTCAATATTGTTCAATGCTGTTGACAGGTGTGAACAATATGAGCAGCACAACATTGTTCAATATTGTTAAACTACGGGCTCAGAGCTTTTGGCTTGTAAAATTTTAGTATATATACTCATAGAGGTTTTTATATATTAGGCCAAAGAAAAATTGCATGACGCTTTAAGTCTGAGATTTTCACTGTGACAAGCCTTCCATCATTGCGCTGGTCGTGGCGCTGGCCATGCATGAGCTCTCGTTTAAACTTCTAATGTTTAATATGTTTCGTTTTTCTCTATTATTGGATTACTGTAGTCTGTACACAACAGACAGTAATCCTAACCAATTGGATTTTGATTGTATTCGCCAAACAAATCTATGTTACTGCTACATCGAAGAGATTTGTCTCTTGTGCATAAGTGTTTCCATGTTGTCAAAGCTAGTCGCTGGTTTAACTGAGGAGTTTCCCCTTTTCCTACACAACTTCCTTTTACAGTTTAATAATCTAAAATGCTTACGTTCCACGCAAATTAAAATTATGTGAAATATATCTTTGTGAAATTGTTGCGAATGACCTTTAATTAATTTTGACTTATTCGTAAAAACAGTTCCGGTTTAAAAAAGTAGAAAAAATAACATACGCGAAACAGTTCGTTTTAGGCAACAACGTTTTTCTATTGCAGGTTTGCAGTTATTGAATGAAATGGTAATACTTTTGCATCCTTTCTGCCTACATCATTTTCCTACTCTCCGTTGTTTGTGTGGTCGTTATGAGAAATCTAATCGGAAGCCACCTGTTACATGAGACTTGAAGAAAGGTCGCAACAACACCAATCCCATGCACCCCTGGCATAACTTATTTCACTGAAGTACCTCAATATCTCAAATATAAATAATCTGTTCGTGCAGATACTTTCCTAATTGTTTCCATTTACCTTTAAGATCTACCTCACCATTAACAGGCGTCATATCCAGGACTATCGTAATGCTCATTCAAAAATAATATCGTATTATTAATTTCTGCTACTTTTCCGTCATGTTGGGCAATCGTGCAACTTCAAAACTCTAATCGAATCCATATTTTTTTCCTGAAGATGTCTCGTTATTTATATGCTATATACACAATTTAGCGAGACAGCCGAGGCTATATACTCCCACTCGTGCTAGCTTATAATGTTTCTTCAATTAAACAATGAAGTAGACCATGTTAATGAATTTAGCTGCACTGTATGCAAGCATATCATTCGTTGCCAATGTTTCTCGCGATGAAAACTTTCATATTACCTTTCGAGGGCCATTGGGAAGAATACCTTAAGGTAACAATGTGAACCCCTCATGAAATAAAGTTTTAATAATAATAATATAATAATAATAATAATGTAAGTCTGTATTAAACGGCGGATAAGTCAAAATGAAATAACACCCTTACATCCCTCTTGAATGAGTCAACTTGAATATTATGCCCTGAATATGTAGTTGTAAACATTATCCTTGTTTTCAGGTTGAAAATATTTAGTTTGCTTGCTGAATAAAACGATAGACTCGCTTTCTATTTTGAACTTAACCACCGTTTAAGCTAAACGAGCTTGATACAATCGGCCACAGTATTGGTAAAACAACGAGTTTTAGATTCTTCACTTTTCAAGGTTAAATTGTGGCGTAGCCAGCCTGACGATTTGCGGCCTGTTAACATGATCCTGCTTAGCCGAGATTTGACAAGGCGAAAAAAAAGGTTTTTGAGACATTGAATGTAAAATTATACAGGTTACAACGATCTATTGTTATGATAGTTTATGAACTTCAGAATATTAGCACAGCGGGACAAATCTGTCGGACGGTTTATAATACAGTGCCTGCTTGGAATAAGGTTCGCATGTCAAAACAAATAATCGTTGTAGCTTCATACTGACTCGTGCTCGAACGCATGCACACGCTCATGCATGGTAATATGAAAGTAATTACGAGTAAAAAATTTTCGGCAAAAAATTCAAATTAATAATATATATTGTATATTCAATACCGTAATCTATTTGGAACCCGCTATTATATTAGTTTTTTATGCGTTGTTGTTTTATTACCGAAACGTAAGATGTTCTGAGGTATTAAAATAGGTCTTTGGTGCCGGGTTTCTATTACTCTAGTTGTGACAGAATATTTCTGCATGTGTGCACAGTCAACGATATCTTATTTGAATGCAGAAATATAGGCGATTTATACATGCATACTATTTCTCGTATATCATCAGTGAAAATGACTTGTTTTTGATAATTAAAACTAAATGGAAACCAGGCTTTAAAAACAAAAAATCCCATAGTATTGTTAGGATGACTACAGCACGGACCTCGAAGTCATTTTACGCTTCGTCGAATCTCGGGTAACCGTGATCATGTGAAGAGCCTCTTAACCTAATTTTTGTCTTCGTTCTGCATGGACGCATACCAGACAATATAAAAATAATTAATAAACAATACCAGGGCAATTGTAGCACAAGAGACTTCAGAGACAATTGGACCGTTCAAAAAAATGAAATAAGTTATAGGATGAACGGTTGCCATTTGGTTTCTCTATATTTAACAAACATAGCAACAAAAATCGTTCCAAATGTTTCCGCGACCTGATCTCATACAACAAAATTGAATGACCTTGCATGTTTACTAGAAACTTGTCCCTAATGAAGTTTAATTAAACCTGTTAGCAAAATGTTATTCATTACTTTTTACGCCTACATATTATAATTATGTATATTGTTTCAAACAGCTTCCAGTCATTCTCTGCTGTCAAACTGCATCATAGGCTATAATATATATACGTTTCCATCTTGAAATATCTATTTCGTGGTCAAAAGTTTAGGAAACAAACTAAGAAAACACATTCTTTCTAAGTTGAACCCTGGTCAACATTATTTTTGTGACTCCTACTGCGTGCATAACATATCAATCTAATCCAATTATTCATACACTTGGGATATCGATCATCGTTTACCATTTTACCCCCGTCTTTATGTCTGACTGAATCTGTTTACTATTTTGCTGACGTTTCCCTGCATTATAAAAGCCCATCTCGTTCTCTGGCTGATAGGTGGTGTTGACCAGTATTGCTGCAACTTGTCTCTCGTCACAAGATAGACTATCAAAAGATGGCTTCGCAGTATCTTCATTTTCTGTTTTCTCTCGTGTTCTTATTCAATTCAGAAAGCACTTTAGCTGGATCGTGTCCGAGCAGTCACTCAGTGATGCACGCAGGTTTGTGCTACCAGCCATGCAGAACCCTCTCACACTGGGCCTTTTCGCTAGGTGTTGGAACGATTTGTTGGGGCTGTGTTAAAGATCGTCCTGTACAAATTGCTGGCTTATGTTACAGAAGATGCCCGAGCTCAACGCCTCATGGCAACACTTACATGTGCTATGGTAACTGTCCCAGCGGCTATCGCAACGATGGCCTCACATGTTTCAGAGATGCTCGCATAATCAACGCCAATAACGGAGGATGTCCATGGTACGACTTGTGTGGATTGACATTCGCCCGCGGATGCACCAAATGTCCCTCTGGTTATCACAATGACGGTTGTACTTGTAGAAGAGATTCCCATCTCATCTGGCGTCCGTCGTATAATCGAGGCGTGGGCGTCGCGATGGTATCATACAGCCGAGGTGTTGGTCTAGTACCATCTTGAAACTTACTTGAACAAAAACAGACATTCGAAGTATTTAAACAACGCCGTTTGCCTTTTCGTTGTTAGAATATCGTTTGTGTTGTTAGAATATCTAACGACATTTAATTTAGGTACGTTTTCCTTTAATTGAATATGAACTAGTGTTTTTATGACAAAATATAGTTTTGGGAATAACTTGGGATTGATTGTGGATATGCATGGAAATTAACCCAACTTGAAAGCCATATTAGGGTTTTAGAAAAAAAATACCGCACATCTGTCAATAGTTATTAATATACGTATACTCAACTGGACGAGACAACTGATCTATTAATACGCGACAATAAAAAATCGTTTATACTTTCTTTTACTGAAAGGATTAAAGGCTCTCATTCCCAGATTGACAGATTCATGAATATTTATTTTAATAAGCAGGCTTCAGCTTCAATCTGTAAAACAATATCTATAACAAATAAATAGTAATAGGGGGGATAGCAGATAGCACTATTTATATACTAGCTATATGTATGACATACAATACACTGCGCGCCGACTACTGTCGCCGGCTTGTACAGCATGTAGCTGCACTTCATTTGTTGGTAGCTAGTTTTTAACTAAAGTTTAGAACGCGCTGTTTGTTCTTGGTTCTTGTACAATTTCTCAATTTCGTCGGCGAATCTCTTCTGCAACGTGAAACGTTTCGATTTTAAAGTTGGGGTGAGTAAGCCGTTCTCCACGCTGAATAATTCTGAATGCAAGAGGATATTTTTGACCTGCAATAGAAACAGTAAAAATTAAAGGGTTTTCTCCAGCTTGGACGTACCCAACCTGCTTCGCGAACAAAGTATGCATGTTGTCCTAAATAACCAACTGGCGGCCGTACTTGCATATAAACTCATCGCAGTTCTTGAACATCGTTTTATACGGCAGACGTGAAACACATTGTTTCGCTAGATGTATCAACAATGGTATATTGGCTATCTTAAGTATGTCACTGCTAAAAAACATCTTACGTAGAGCGTTTATAATCTAACAAAATTGTTGAAAACCTTATGAAAGTGTAATTAAAATACGCAATGCACGCGGTCATTAGCGGTTCGTTGTTAAATATCAAACCTGTTCAAATGATGCCAACTTTGCTTCCTTTCCTCTGGCAACGATATCTTCCAAAATCATGTTTTTCACATCCTGTTTGATAAAATAATATAATTTGTTGAAGTTCAATCTGGAGATGTACAAAGGTGAATACCATAGTGATTATTCACAAGTTTTATAAATATTTTTCAGAGATCCAACACTGTTAACTACTTTTGGGATGGCAGAATAGAGAGAAGGTGGAGGTAGCAGAGAAAAGGAATAATTGACGTGATCCATCGTATTTAAAATATTTAACGCGCGAACAAAAAATTTACACAGACAATACTATATTGGTTACTAGACATGTACATACCTCGTCTTCACATAACTCCTGAAATGTTTTCGATAAACCATTTTCCGAGGCCCACTTTATCATGGCAGCCTCGTCGGGTACAACAATGCCAACAATGAAGGACTGCGGTATTGATTAAATTATTTCAATATGTTTTTCAGAATCCGCAGGAACGTGATTTTATCATTAACCCAATAGCCTTGGACATGCAATTATTTGTTTACGATCATTATACAGCGTATATACGATGAAGAGATGTACAAAATACAACAAAAAACGTACCTTAAGACTATAACCATGAACAAACACCTGAGCTACGAAAGGGCTTTTGATGTAAACGTTCTCAATTTTGTCAGGAGCAACATATTCACCCTGAGTTAAATGATACAGAAAAGACGATTAAAATCTCATTATATGACTTTAGGACCTGAAGTAAAACATATCGTGACTATCTTCATAATTATAGGCCCCTCCTTCCATGATCGAAATAAGGTTAGCCTCATGTTAGGTTAAAAATCAATTTAACGTATAGCTATATGTATTTCCGATGATCATGCACAACCTGCGATATATGTGTAATACCCAAAAACAACATTGATAGTGCTTTAAAAGAAAAAAGTCTATAATACATAAATGATATAATAGAAAATTCATTTTTCTGACCAATACCAATATCCGTTCATGTTTCTGAGACATGAACATTTAGGAGATCAATATCTGCTGCAAAATAGAACAGATAAATCGATAATAACAGATCTGAGCAATCTATTTTTAATGTTATATTCCAAGGATTGTATTTGTAAGGCCAGCTGATCGATCCCAACATATAGTTCTTGTAACACGAATATAATATTTGAACACAAATTGTTTAATCTTTTTTTTCTCAGCATCATTTTGATCATTTCACCCTCATTTTAATCCGTGCAAATGAAGCGCCAACCCACCTGTGATAATTTGAAGATACACTTTTTTCGTCCAATAATCTTCAAAGTGCCGTTCTATATGAAAACAGTGTGGTATTAGTATCGTGATGATTTCAACAAGTACATGAAAAGGTCCCGTAATTAATGTGTCCATCATCCTAACTCTAACGCCAAAATCTCAAAAGGGTAAAATAAGTCCATAATAACCCAACACACCGGCTTCCACTCTCCAACATCACCGCTGTGAAGCCATCCATCTTTATCGATGACTTCAGCTGTTTTCTTTGGTTCTTTTAGGTACCCTTTAAACACATTCGTACCGTAAATACATACCTAAAATATAAAAAATGGGGTAACGTAACAAACTAGAAAAAATTCCTGCACGGAATTTTTCAATTCTCAAATATTGGTGCATGCAAGCAAATACGGAGCGTTCTTTAATACTAACACCTCTGTAATACCTCTATTCTATATGGGTAACTTTCTAAGGATATTATTTTCAACCCAAATTAAACCCCTTCTAAGTACAGACACCTGCTTATACCATGCATCCATTTCTGTACAGTTCTCTATAATTTAGGAATCGCCTAAATTTTGGAAACTTTTCTTAGAATAGCTTTCTATAGCTGATATCTCCTGACCGTATTGATAAAGGTGTTTTTGTAACCCCAAACATAAGTATAGCTTTTTAATATTCACTCCCTTTCCTGAGCCTTTAAAATGAATGGTGATATATCTGTGACTACGGTGCACCAGCTATATATAAAATATATAAGGAATATTTACTTCGCCTTGATTTTTGAACGTGTAATACTCCATTTCTGGTATATCAACCAGCTTGATATAACTGGTTGCTACAGGCGGTCCAACGTGACCTAGTTATTTCAAGAGTAAAAACGTCTGTATTGCATATTTCCGCAGGATTACTGCCTGCAATATCAAACCTAATTAAATAAATTTCATAAAAATAGCCAAAAACTGTGGCGATTATCTTAAATATGAGCGATGCATGTAGCTACCTGGATTTTTTCTCCTGCATGTGCTTGTCTGACGATTTTTACGCAAAGTAAACATGTATATAAGCAGTGGCGTAGCCAGCCTGACGATTTTGTCCCGCTATGTAAATTTCGAGTTATTATAATTATTCGTGCCTTTAGAAATCTATTGTTTTCACAGTCAGTGAACACAAAATATTAGCATAGCGGGACAAATCGACAGGCTGGCTACGCTACTGTATAAAAGAGTACGCAGAAAAAGCTAAGAGGTGGCAGTGGCGTAGCCAGCCTGACGATTCTGTCCCGCTATGTAAATTTCGACTTATTGTAATTATTCATATCTTTAGAAATATATTTTTTTCACAGTCAGTAAACACCAAAATATTAGCATAGCGGGACAAATCGACAGGCTGGCTACGCTACTGAGAGGTGGTGTAATCATTATTATACAGTACCCGAGGATTTATCCATCATATTAGTCATTGCCGCGGATCCAGCGCCTTCAGTTAGACCATAACCCTCTATAACCTTTAAAGAGGAAATTGTATTAGTGGGGTAGATATGATATTTGAGTAGCATCACAAAAGACTAATTATCACTTTCACTCTACAGGGTGTCCCAAAAAAAACGAAAACTATTGAAATCACTCATTGTTAAAATTTGAATGCCGTGCTAACGAATTTCAGTCCGTGGGGATTTAATGCAACTTATAAAATGCTAAATGCTTTGTGTTGCTAGAGAAAGGGGACATGTCGAAGGTCATGGTCCTTGAGATGCACATCTAAATAATGTTATCCATATTTGTAAATTGTAAATATTGTTAATAAATATCATTTTTGCGAACAAGCAAATTTTACTGCATCATATGCCTGCATCCGTAAAAATGAGTATGGTAAACATTTATACACCTGTGGGTCCCAACAGAGTGCTTAGGCATTCAAACTCTAACAATTGCATGGTTATGGGTGATTTCAATAGTTTTCGTTTTTTTTGGGACACCCTGTAGGAGCTAGAATATAATTAAAGCCCCATTACACAGAGAAAAGTCCAATAGCGTCAATTTTACACCACTTGCAATGAGTTCATGAAATATTATCAATTGAAACCTACCAAACACTTACCCAACATCCGAAAACTACTTTAAAAAAATTTAAAACTTTTGCTTCGATCGGCGCTGCTCCAGTAATAATGACAGAAACATTTCCACCTAAAATTGCCTAAAATATAAGCGGGCAATTTCAGTCATACTTTGGAGTTTCAAACGACCGTGTCTCCGCGACTTCATTAATTTTGTAACCTCGCGAACATGCAGAATCCTTAAGCAACATATTTCTATATATACTGCAACTTTTTTCTACCTAATTCTTGTACCTGGATTTTTCTGAACACAACTTTATCCCAAAAGCTATTGCTATAAAAATTACCTCTGAAAGATAAAAATATATAGCTATAATCTTTCATAGAATATGTATATAAAATATTTCAAGCCTAAAATTTTCGTTAATGAATTAATACTTAAGGCTTAGAGACTGCATGTTCGTATTTTATTTAAGAATTAAAAAACGAGTCGCGTGCCTTTATGGTGAAATAATGCACGATGGGGGAATGTTGGGAGAATTCTTCCAGCATTTCCCCGAGTGCATTATTACACCATAAAGGCACGCGACGAGCTTTTTTAATTCTTTTATAATATAAGAAGAAATTATAGGGCAACAACAAAATTTATTTATTTGATCAATAATGAAATTCTCCTTACATGTTATTTAAGATGTTGCTTAGCAACAAAAACTTCAAAAGCCAGAAGCGTGCATTATGGCCTCACAATGCACGCGCGGTAGCCAATCAAATTGCTCGTTATATCATACTTATATTATAATGGTGTTTAATATACAATCTTCGTGCATTGGCCTAAATCTGCTCACGCGATTGGTCAAAATCAATCACGCGGCTTCTTGTTGCCTGGCGACAGATCATGGGAATCATAATTTATTCGCAATAATCAATTAAAATCGTGGTTTATTCGCAGTAACCCATGAAAATCATGGTTTATTCAAAAATGACAGCCTGCAGCGAAGCTTGGATCTTCAATGCAGCAATCAATGAGCTCAGATTGTATAATACAAGTGTTAGAGACTTTATGTAAACACAAACTTTGTAAACTTAGTAAACAAAACAGTCACAACAGTCTCTAAGACTCTAACCCTTAAATCATAAAGGACACTGCTTACCTCTCAAGGTCAGCTAACTTTGAGGCAAATGCTTTATTGAATAAGCTTTTCTTTATTCCACTACTTGCCTCTATAGATGCAGTTACCTGAAGCACAAACACTCATGCCAGTCATGCCGGATCACTTATAATCCGAAAATGAATGCTTTTACGGAGTGAATTCTTTTTTAAATTAAGCTTAATGAGTTATAATATAGTTATTTAATAATTTCAACTGGGAAAATGTTTAGTTTCCAAATTATATGGATGTGGATGATTTGTCATGAATTGGGCTAGGAGTTAGGGCTAGAAATTTGGGGCTAGGAATTTGTCAACACATGCACAGTGTTACACAAATTCATAAACAACAATGGTTTCTGCGTTTGCTAAATTTCAGCCCAGCAAAAACTACTCATATACAATCGTTTGCTAAATTTCAGCCCGGTAAAGCGGGCTAGCCCGGTCCATGTAATCGGCCGCTTGGGTTATTTCTGGACAGTACTGTATTAATTGCCTGCACCCATTACATGATAATTGACCGCTAGAACAGGTTTAAATATCCTATACGATTATAATTACAAATTTACTCAACGTACCATATCATAGAGACGATTTAACAAACGAGGAACAGATGGAAAAACCGTAGGTCTACATAGAATAAACGAAACATACGACTTGTTAAGCCATTTCCAGGACAGTTCAGACAGACAGACACAATCAATCTTTGCTTAGTTTAATCAGGAACAGGAAAAATTTTAGAAAATTTAAGGCGGAAAAACATATACATTGACTAAATATGGTCTTCGAGTATTGAGTATATTAAAGACATACATTTTATTCAAACGGTTTAAATGTTGAATCCTGCATGGTATTGAATTAATGTGGACGAACAGGCTGTTATTTTTTAAAGTGTTAGGTTTAACTCCACTTTGTGCTCTGAACGAAATTCAGCCCCAAAATGAGGTTAAATTTAGTTCAAAATAACACGATTGTAATAAAAATAATATACTAATTTTAAAAATATAAACAGTATATACGTGTAATTGCAGTTGATGAATGTTTCCGATTTAAATACGATTTACAGTAGATTAAGAACGTTTTTATTCCAATGTTTTATGAAAAGAAAAAATATTTTTACCGTAACAACCGTAAATCCTCAAATAGTAATTGGATATCGCCGCGGGAAAATCCACTTCTTGAACCGGAGCTGCGAAATATCAACTGAGCAAGGATAAATGTTCAAACAACGGGTTTTGCCGGTAGTGTTTATACGACATCCTGATGTAGCTACCTACCTGTACGATCCGTTCGTAAATGTGTGGTAAAGGTAAGTACGCGATGTGAAGATCGTTAGGAACCAGTGGGCGGCCATTCTGAAAACATGTCAGAAAAAGCTTTTTTAGTGAATTTAGCACTTGGTCCACAGGTAGCCCGCTATTGGATTTGCTTTTAGTTAAATATTAAACACATTCTATGCAAAACGACATGAAGTGTCATCTTCCTTCATTCACTGCCGACATATTATCGCAGGCGCCAATTCGTGCGGTGCAGTGTAACCTTTATGTATATATTAATATAAGGTTGGCAACTCTTTGTCGTATTTTCACATTTACGAATTACATACCCAAATTACACATGAAAATACTCGTACTTAAACACAAAAATATACACAAAAAACTAAATCTATGTGGGAACTGACTCTCCTAAAACATTTCCGAAACATTTGTTTGTCTTTAAAGCCATTGCAAATATGTGAAATTTACGAAAATACAAACACTTTTTGGTTGAATTTTTTGAAAAGCCGTCGGGATCCCATCACCCTGCCCTACGTCACAGCAAACACGCAATATGATTGGCTGGTTGAGTCCCGTTAACGTAAACAAATTTCAAAATTCAAAGCTAAGCCAATCATATTGCGTGTTTGCTGTGACGTAGGGCAGGGTGATGGGATCCCGACGGCTTTTCAAAAAATTCAACCAAAAAGTGTTTGTATTTTCGTAAATTTCACATATTTGCAATGGCTTTAAAGACAAACAAATGTTTCGGAAATGTTTTAGGAGAGTCAGTTCCCACATAGATTTAGTTTTTTGTGTATATTTTTGTGTTTAAGTACGAGTATTTTCATGTGTAATTTGGGTATGTAATTCGTAAATGTGAAAATACGACAAAGAGTTGCCAACCTTATATTAATATATACATAAAGGTTACACTGCACCGCACGAATTGGCGCCTGCGATAATATGTCGGCAGTGAATGAAGGAAGATGACACTTCATGTCGTTTTGCATAGAATGTGTTTAATATTTAACTAAAAGCAAATCCAATAGCGGGCTACCTGTGCTTGGTCCAGATCAAACTCATCCACTCCTAAGACTTGTTTACACTTTATTAGTCACGACACGAGACTTAATTATAAACTTTATGTGTCCTATGGCTATGGGCCTCCAAATTGATTCGGTCTTGAGACGTATGTCTATATGCTCGAAAGTTGAAACCTTGTCTCATCAGTCAGGGATATAATTAAAAAAACAACCTTTTATCACTGCAGAAAAAGGCAGAAGTGGTATAATATATGTAAATAATGTTGTCTCACTTTCAGGCAGGTTTTTTGGCTGCCCTGAAACATAAATGAGTACTGTATTCACTAAGCAAAGTCAGAGCGACAAGGTATCCAATATTGGCTTCGGGGGTAAGGGGGTAAATGAGAATTTGCACAATATTTTTATGATTTCAGATATTTTTTTTAACAGTTTTGTCGAGGATTATAGGACATGATAAGAATTAATCTAGCTCCAATACTTGATGACAATTCACGCATTCCTTCTATTTGATTACCTATTTGGTAGTCCAACTAATATGAAATTTATTTAGTCCGTCTCAATTAATCTAATTATCATTATAATTATAAGCACGGTGACTCAAGTCATACCCGCTCAAAATGTATGCGATTGGCGGCAATTACAGTCGCTACATTCCTGTTTGTTATCATAGCCCCCTTTGGCTGACCTGAAAAGCAGTTGATTGAAAAGGTTGAACAAACGAATTAGTTCAAAACCTGAGGTTGAATAAAGACATACCAGTTTTATGAGAGACTTGAATAGATATCCTGACAGGTAAATAAGGCCGGTATCGCGTACAAACACCGACATATACGTGAGAAATCACGCATTGAAGAGTTGAGCTTCCACGAATACAATTGCTACGGCCCATTTTTAGCAAATTCGCTTTAATAGGAGATAAATTCCGAAACTGTATATACGTACCTGTCGTTCCACTTGTGTAGCAAACAGTAAAAATATCATCAGGTTTACCGGGCTAGAATTAGGGAAAGAATACTGTAAACATATTTATAACGAAAAATTTACTGTTTATCTTATCTTAGCTTGAATGTGACCATCCCGAAATCATTAAACTCGTAAAGTCTTTTTTTCCCACCGGAGTCTTTTCCCACATCGATTGTTCTTTTCGGCGGAATAGAAATGCAGAAGACATTACGGTATCCAGCAGATTAAAAACAGCTGTGTCATGCAGTGGCTTAACTAAAACAATTTATCGGGGGGGGGGGTTATATAATAATATATGGATTTCTTTTGTAATTGCAATAGCTTACAATATAGAAATTCGTCGGGCAAAACTGAATATATGAATATTCAAAACCCCCCCAATTATCGTTCTAATTCGCCCCTGGACAAACTAGCAGATAATAAGAAAAGTTGGCTTACTGATTTTTCTTGACGATTATTTCGTCCCAACTCCTGGAAAAAAGTTCAGGCAATAATCAAGGTCGATAGTTCATTACAAAGACAACCTTAGAGCTGACTGCGTGTATATAAAATCTTACAAGTCACGACGTGAAAACAAACGCATGTAGCTACTATACAAGATTCTCTGGGGCTAGTTGCGTGAAAAACTCATACAAGTTATATACCAGGACATTTTTAAACGATTTCACCATAATTCCACGTTTCCCAGCCTTCTGTTCGACTTCTTCCTTAACATCTCCAATTGCAATGATGTGTTTCAACTTCGGACACAGTTCAGCTTTCGCTAACAAAACTTCTACGTATACTTTGTTTTCATCGCACACGATCAGTGAAATGTCGGCTACATGTTGAATAACAAAAATGAAATCTACACTTGATTTTGACTGAACGATCCGTTGTATCATACAATAGGCGAAGCTCTATTCGTCTCCTAAAGTACGTCACGACCGCAAGAGTAATCTATTTGCTTGCATGGTTGTATTGAAGTAACCATAGAAATAATAGACATGTCTATTATTTCTATGGAAGTTACACAAAGTATCACAACACCTCAAAATGACTTACAATGATTTATGATGAAGGTGCAGGCATCTGAACCCAGTGTGTCGTAGAGGGGCACAGAAACCAATGAGTAGGTCAGACATGCCACGTCTGTCAGAATCCACTAAAAATAACAGAACCTGCATTCAAATTTATTCAATGCAATAGTTTGTTTCTTCCCCGTTTGAGTTTTTAAAACAAAATCGCTCGCACGAACGAATTCGCCAATTAAGAAAACGGTTAAAAAATGTCAACGGTTATACCTTACGTGCGCATTTGTGGAGGGGAGTCTATTATTACTTCAATTCATGGTGGGAGGGGGTATATGGTTCAGCGTCACGTAAATTTTGGGTAAATGGTGCATTGCAAAAATTTTAGCAAGCGGGGGGGGGGGGGGGCTCTTTGATATATGTCATTTAAGTCAAACTTTTCTATGCAAACGATGCACTAAATACAGAACGTCAATAGTCTAAAAAATGTTGCATAAAGGTTTTCTGGACAACTTAACTAGATAGCTTTTGACTTGTATAGCCAAAAGTTAATAAGATAGAATTTTAGCAAGGGGACCTGTGTCCCTCCCGCCCCCCAAAGCCCGAACGTGATTTATGATAATTTATTTCCTTCTTATATGTGTATACAGACATGCATATAAATATTAACACAATCGTCCAAGGGGGTAACGAGGGTGTCAAAAATTGCCAAAAGCACGCGAGGTATTTTCTTAACGAATACTGACTTATTCACCTCTAACAAAAAAAAACTCCGCCATTTTGAAAAAGGTGATTATGGCGTAATACTGATTCCGTGGTTGCTCAAACAACGAGGCCAAATTTCCGAGAATTTCCAGTTGTTACTTTTGTATTTATACGAACAAGAATTAACCCAAAATCAGTTTTCTTGGAAACTAATTTGCCAGGTAATCCCATCGATGCTCGGAGTGCACGCAAGTGACGCAACACGGCGGAAATGAGTTTTTATGAAGTTTCAACCGGAAAATCTAATCACTTCTGTATCGCTAATCGCTATCGAAGTGCTTGTTGAGTATTTATAAATATTTTTACAGTCATCAAGTAATTCAAGGTTGGAGAGTGGGTATATTAATATATTCATGTTCTCACAACCGTAGAAACAATAGCTCACATAGGAAATCAGTCGGGCATAAGACGAAGATATATGAATATAAGTATAATTGAGCATACTCACCTTAAGGCTGTTTTTCACTTACGCGTTTTTCATACGCACGTACACGCACGTAAAAGTCTAAATCCTTGTACATGCTACCTTTGAAAAAACTAAGTGAATAAATCGAAGGAACTTAGTTTTCTGCATATTTTAGTATGCATTAGTTGACGTAGATGTTAAATAATAAAAATTTAAAAGCATTTAAAAGTTTCCGTACGTGTACGTGCGTATAAAAAACGTGTAAGTGGAAAGCAGCCTTTACTGTACTTTTCACTCGTGGCGGGAATAGAAAGCTAAATCCCCCCCAAAAGAAAAATCAATCCTTTGTGGAGATTAACCTGGATATAAGGGATATATTAATCTAAACAAAAAAGTTTCAGTTTGAAACTGTTCGAGCCGTTGCCGGCCATGCGGATTTAGTGGATTAAAGTACTGGGGCCGGTTGTATTAAGCCCGTTTAGCTTAAACGGTGGTTAAGTTCAAAATAGAAAGCAAGTCTATCGTTTTATTGAAGAAGCAAACAAAATGTTTTTAACCTGAATACAACGATACTGTTTACAAGTACATATTCAGTGCATAATATTCAAGTTGACTCATTCAAGAGAGATGTAAGGGTGTTATTTAAATTTGACTTATCCACCGTTTAAGCTAAACGGGCTTGATACAACCGGCCCCTGAATTAATCAAAATATCAAACCTCAACTCCGTTTGCGGCATAAATGCCAAGGAACGTCTCTGCGGAAGGCTGGTAACCGAGTTCTAATATTCCTGACCCCAAATCGGCAGCTCTCTCTAAAACCTGAAATGTGTTTGATGTGATTTAGAGTAAAAACCTGAGGTGATTTAGAGTAAAAAACTTCATTCAGAATTTCAGTCAGTTGGCAGATCATTGTTGTTGATAAATGAAACAGGTTTAATCAAACCAATATGGCTGCTTCTAATCTAGGACCATAATCAATAAGGGTGAATGAGCTTCATGTGCCACCAGCTTTAGAGTATGTATGTAATATGTAAGTGCCTGAATATTGACTGCTTGTCAAGTGTGATGAGCATGCATGTTGTATGTTTTCATATAACTGTTTTGTTGTTTTCCTCATTTCACAATTAAATTTCTGACACAGCAAATTGCATGTAGGTAACTACAGGTCAGAATTTACCCCTAGCTGACAGGGGTTAAAGCTTTGAATGTATTAAACCATTTAAATGTATATTGGGAGGTTTTTGCCAGTATACAATATAAGAAATATTAATTAACAGGTGAAAGGAATTTTATACCTGATTATAAGTCATCCATGTGTAGGAGCCATTAAATTGTTTCCCCAAGCAGGGCCTATCACCTAAACAAATAGCAAGAGTGCATGTTTAGAAGCATCAAGCGTATGGTTCGTACACACACGTAAGCAAGCTAGATGTCTACACCAACAAAATATAATTTATCTTTCAATTAAATTTTATGCATATATACTGTTTACAATAAATAAGCACTAGCATCACAATTACTTACACAGTTTGGAAAATACAAATTGCAGCATTTGAAGAAACATGATTTATGATTCATGTTTAACACTAGCTGTTCTTGTTTAGCATTTTTTTAAACAATACGTAGAGCTTTCAGGACAGTGATAAAGTATCAAAGAACATTGAATATTGTGATGATGCTACTCTGTTTCACCAACTAGGGAAGCTGAAAAATTAGCTTGACCATGGTGGGAATCGAACCCTCGAGTGTTGGTTTGCTAGCTAGTCCAATGCTCTTCCAAATGAGCTACTAGGTCAAGACGTTTGGGTATTTAAAAACTTAATATATCAATAATTGTATCTTCATATACCATAATATGCACAGAAACCAGGGGCACCAATTAGTATAGTTCAGACTTCAGGGTGGTAGCAGAGTAGAGTTTTAGAAAAGGGCACATTCGTTTTACCCACAGCACCAGCAATATGGAGAGGAACCCTAAACACATTCAATTTTAAATATTTGGTTTTCAAATACATTAGGTGGCAACCAAAAATTCAAAATCTATCTCAATTTGCTATCTCCTATTGCATTGTGATATAGGAACTTAATATTTTGTTATAAAAAATATTTAAGAAATATTTAAAAAAAACTTATGCATTACCTAGCTAGCTGCGGCCTAATGAATGTGCACTGACCTTTCTAATGGTTTAATTAATAAGTACTACACTCAGTGCTGTTTCCTTGGCTAACTATAAATTATAATCACCAGATTTTTCAGCTCCTTTTAAGTAGGCTTCATAAGCAGTTGTTATCCCATCATAAGTTTCACATAGTTTTTCAGAGAAAGCACTTCTCTTTGCACCAGGAATTCCCTGTGTAGTTCAACGACAGAATATAGTTGAATTACAAAACATAATTGAATTACTGGTGTCAATTTACGATGATTTTATATCACGAAGTAATTTTACAGGTTAGCAAATGTAATACTCTCATTCTGAAAGCCATTTACAACACAGGGCTGAGATTTGCAGTCAGTGCATAAAGGTTATATTATACAACCCTCGGTCAAGTTTATAGCCCTCACTTTGGTCGCGTTGAATGCAATTTAAACAACAGAGTTACAAAGAATAAATTATAATTCTTATTTAGCCTCGTTATCTATTTATTGAGTTAAGCTATAATTATTATCCATTTAATATTTTCATACAGCTTGTTTATATTATAACTTCAGCGAATAGATAATGAACAAGTAGTGCTTGTCGAAGTAGATCAGTTTGTGTCTTATCTTCCCACATTTAATTTATAAAGTTAAATCCAACAACGGGCGATTTTGAAGCGATTGAAAAGAACACTATCCAGTGGATAGCGCTATCCGGCTTTCATACAACCGACCCCAGTACGATAATATTTATAATGGATGTGCCCGAATGTCCTTTTATTAAAATTACGTATGCATCAAAGACAAAGACTTGATGATTTTCATCGCATTGAATTTCGGCATACAACATATTGTTACAATATTTCTACCACCCACCGGTACATCGATTCCCTGATTTTCGATGTCCATTTCTACGAAGCTGTACTATAATTCCTGGAAGACTTGCTCGCGGTAATAGGGTTCATGTCCAGAATTAACTGTAGAATGTAAATCCCGCGACAAGATTATAATTGCAAATAGCGTAAAAAATAGCCATCATCATGATATCATCCAATATTATGATGTGCCACGTATGTGCACCGGCGCACGTTTCAGGCTTTGTTTAGTAACTTTGGTTCAACATGACTGAACGCTATTGTCCGTTGTGATTAATATTTTAGAAACATTATCTGAGAGAAAGCAGTTCGGGCACTGTAACAATGTAGGTTAAACTGGAATATTATACAGTTATTTGTACTTATGACTATTTGTATTGCATGCATTTTGAGAAAAAAGATACATGTATGTAAAATGTTCGGACTTTTTTCTCTTATAGCTAGTCAGTTTTTACTAGTTATAAAAATATTTTTTCGGATTTTTTTCTCCTATAGCTAGTCAGTTTTTACTAGTTATAAAAATATTGTTAAGTTTGTAATTAAAGTTTGGGGCGAATTGTTTGTTCTTGATTCTTGTACAATTTTTCAATTTCTTCGGCGAATCTCTTCTGTAACGTGAAACGTTTCGATTTAAATGTCGGTGTAAGTAAGCCGTTCTCAATGCTAAATAACTCCGAATGCAAGAGGATATTTTTGACCTGTAGAAAAAACAGTGAAAACTTAAAAATTTGAAAAAATGCATAAGGGGAAAAAATACGGCATGTGAGGGCTGTTTTTTTAAATGTCGAACCTGTTCAAATGATGCCAACTTCGCCTCTTTCCCTCGGGCAACGATATCTTTAAAAATCATGTCTTTCACATCCTTTTTAATAAAACAGTAGACTGCATGAATATATAGTTGTGACCCTATATTTTAATAAATACTTTTCAGGAATCCAACACTAGGCTATATTGCTACTCCGAGAGAACAAATTACTAAAGTGCAAATCATTTGATCTACCTACGGATAACAAGGAGGAATTTCGTTTTAGACCAATCAGCAATTTTGTTGACATTTTCAGTTATGCATATCAGAAAGCATAAATATTGACTACCAGTAAAAAGGTACATTATTTTCCGCTTTACATGAAGTATAAAAAAATTAGGTATTCTGATTGGCTTAGCCTTAAAAGTGTAAACAAATAAGCCATTTAGTTTAAAACGAAATTCCTCCTTGATTCTCTACAAATTACGATACCTAACAAAGATATATGCGTACACATACCTTGTTTTCACATAATTCCTGGAATGTTTTAGAAAAACCATTTTCTGAGGCCCATTTCAAAAGGACAGCTTCATCAGGCACAACAATGCCAACAATGAAGGACTATAGTAAGAAATATAAGCAAAGTTAATCAATCGCAAATGATTTCGAACAACCGTCCCCTGAACTACATAATTTTATGGTGATGGGTCTGCCGTGACCTGTAGCAACAATCTTTAAATAATCGCATATCAATATCATTTGATTAATTTCGTCCTCCGTTTCAATAGAGAACCTAACAGGGCTGAGGAGAAGCGCGAAAAAATAATTAAAAATATTACCTTCAGACTGTGACCGTATAAACAAACACCTGAGCTACGAAAGGGCTTTTGATGTAAACGTTCTCAATTTTGTCGGGAGCGACATATTCACCCTGTGTTAAATGATGCAGAAACCATACGTCAAATTTTCTATTCCAGCTTTATATATTTGCCCTATGGTTGTATTCCTAATAATTATTATCATCTTTATGGTGCCAATAATAGCCTAGAAGAAGTCCCAGAGCCTTCAACGAGCAAAGCTCATTACATGCAATTTTCGCAAAATTAATTAAATCAATAATATTTGAATAAAATTGAAATTTACACTTAAAAATGATTGTGGAGAAATTAATATTGGCATCGAAACATTAATATGTGTTATGTGTCTGCAGTTGGTTCCTAGAACTATAAGATTTAATCTCTTTTATAACAAATCTCGGTAAATGATCTGAAAAAGAACAATTTAATTAAGGCTGTTTTTGAATCTCACTGCAATCATTTTAACGCGCCACTCTGCTTTGTACTATAAATCGTAGATCTACTATAAAACCAACCCACCTGTGATAACTTGAAGATACACTTTTTTCGTCCAATAATTTTCAAAGTACCGTTCTATATGAAAATAAAAAACCTAACGTCTCCTGTATGATATTGGTTCATCACCACAGAAGTAACCGTATATCAATGGGGCAAAAGGCTTAGGAAACACACCGGCTTCCACTCTCCAACGTCACCACTATGAAGCCATCCATCTTTATCTATGACTTCAGCTGTTTTCTTAGGTTCCTTTAGGTATCCTTTAAACACATTCGTACCGTAAATACAGACCTGAAATATAAAATATAATTGGAAACGCGAGTATAAATGATGAGTGCTTTGACTAAGTGATGTGTGCACCTCTTAAATATGGGCAAAAATTTAAAAAGTCCGTTTCCTAATCAAGAACACGGACCTTTTGCATATGAACTTTCGGCTGAAGATGAAAACCTCATCCTCAAGACAGCACTTTCCTATATATAAGGCCTACAACCGAGGTAATTCTGACATTTTGCAATATCTTATATGGATAAATCTTATCAATTTATGGATATTGCTCTTTAATATAATTAAACAACCCTTTAAGATTGCGCGACTTTTGAGTTAAAAATGGCTCTCTAACAAGCGGATACCTTTCTGGTGAAAGCTCTCTCAATTTTTACAATTTTCGGTATACCCTACGAGACCCTTTACGGGAAAGTCTCATTTCACTAAACTTAATTCTGTTATATGAACATTTATGAACTATTACGACTTCTCTAAGAACAGGTCTCTAATGCAAAGCGCTAAAAAGACACTTCTTTATGTATTAACAAAGATAATTACTTCGCCTTGATTCTTGGAGGTATAATACTCCATTTCTGGAACATCAACGAGCTTGATATAACAGGTTGCTGTGGGCGGCCCGACATGACCTGGTATTTCAATAAATATGTCGAATGAAACATTATGATTAACATATTTCCGAGAAATTGGGGGGGGGGGGTAACTGACCGGAACACAATAAATGCGACAAAAAACCCAGTGTAATGGATTTAAAATTAATAGCCATCTAAAATACGTTTTTTCAGCCATTGGGAATCAAACACAAATTTGATTGTTAACGTTCCATCAAGAGGAACAATTCTTCGGACGTGCTGTGATAGTAAATGTACCTGCAGATTTATCCAGCAAATTGGTCATGGCCGCGCATCCAACACCTTCAGTTTGACCATAACCCTCGATAACCTTTTAGGGGAATTGTTGTTTTGGTACAGCGTATAATATTAAATATAAATAGTATTTCAAAATGACACAAAATGAGACCTCGTCCTAACAAACTCTTGAAGCTAAAATGTTTTGACCGGAGGGGGTAACACTCAGCAGGGTTTATTTAAGGCTTAGGTTTTCAAAAAAAACATGTTTGAATTAAATGTTAAAACACATACCCAACACCCGAAAACAACTTTAAAAAAAGTTAAAACTTTTGCTTCGATAGGTGCTGCTCCAGTACCTATAATAGAAATCCTTCCACCCAGGACTGCCTAAAAAGTAGACAGAGAATCTTAGACCTCAGTGTTTCTATAATTCTTAGACAGAGAATTTTAGACCTCAGTGTTCCTACACAGTTTTCATAATTTTCTAAACGACCGTATCTAATCCAAAAACGGTTGAGGAATATTCGTGAAGCACTAAACCACGCATGCGACTTATTTTCATCTACTTCCATGTTGTACCTGGATTTTTCTAAACACCACTTTATCCCAAAAGCTATTGTTGTAAATTTGACCTCTGGAAGAGACAAACACATTTTCAAGCGATCTTTACAATTTTTTTTAAAAATGGGAAAAACCTCACAAGTTCTTAAAACATTGTAAAGAGCCTGAAAAAGAGTATAGTTATCCCTTGGCGATTTACCACAAGTGGCCCACAAAGAGAAACAGTAATCAAAGCAGGTTTGCAGAGAACGTTTATAACTTAATTCTAAGATATGCAATGAAACGAAGGATTTCATTCGTTTTATTTCGCCAACAGCTGCCCCCGCAGTCTTGTAAAGTTCATTGCTTACTTCTCAAGGTCAGCCAATTTTGAGGCAAATGCCCTGTTGAATAAACGTTTCTTTATTCCACCACTTCCCTCTACGGATGCAACTATCTGCAGAAAAAACATTGAATTGCAATGAAAAATGATTGTTTTTCACATTGCTTTAATTCAAATTTTGGCAGAATAAATTCAACAAAATTTTAAAATTTTAAAGTTATATTTATTTGGTTATACTAACTCTTCGTTTAATGAGCAATTAAAATATAAAGAAAAGGCGGCATGTGGGCACGATCTTTAATAACCTACATTAAACATTATACGTACGTAGTCTTCGCGTATTAGTATATTTACTATATTTTAAACGGTCTATTATATTGTCCTACTAAAGATGAGCGACAGTATGCACCCATTCTTTATACAATGGCTACGTCGAAGAAGTATTTGTTTAATATGTAACAAATGAGACATTTTTCATACAGCAGAGAATTCAACTCAACCTACCATATCGTAAAGGCGATTTAACAAACGAGGAACGGATGGGAAAATCGTAGGTCTACATAAAAAAGTACATATACAACTAAAAACGGCCTAATTACGACTTGTAATATTTTGCAGCCAATTAAGCGGCAATCTTTCTTTGACAACAGAAATTTTAGAACGAACGGCCCCGCGATTTTATGTGGGATTTTCTTCTTTTGATAGATGTGAACGAGTGAATTAGTTACAATGTTCAAATACTCGTTCATATTTTGAATAGAATTTTGAGACCTTACAATTATGTTGCGCTTTTCTCTTGATAAACTTAAAAATAAAATAAAATAAACATTTTATACCTTAACAACCGTATATCTTCGAATAGCAGTTCGACAACATTTCGGGAAAACCCACTCCTTGAGCCAGAACTACGTAATACCAACTATATAAAGATAAACGTTTGAAAAACGCGGTACTCAAAAACATTTTTGGCATGTTTCGCAAAAAACCTTAAAAAGGCATCTTGCATGATAAACCTCCAAAATGCATGTATATGTAAACTAGGAGTTTTATGAGGGAAAAAACTATTGATGCCGTTTTTATTTATCTGAACTACTTTTACTGCACAAAGATTAGCATAAACATTCACAATTCAATCACCATGAAATTGTTGTGTTTGACATGCATTAAGTATTCAAGAAATAAAAGGAGAGAAAACAAAGCGCTTTTGCTTTGAAAATTTGTATCTGTATTTTATCGGAACTGACGTCAGTCGGATTTTACCGGCTAAGCGTCGGAGCAAAATCGGTAAACGCCGGTTAAGCATCAATATTCGGAGCAGGAGTGATTGAAACAAAAATGTCTCTATTTCGGCATATTACCAAATACGACCGAATCTCTCAAAATATGATACGCAACGTAGACGCACGTACGCATATTGCGTACCTATTTTTTCATTAGAGACAATATTTGAACTTTAATTTCAAATTTGCTACGAAAAGCAATAGGTAATTGACAACAGTTTTGCAACATGAGCAAATATGTACGACAGAATATATAATCACAAGTTAAAGAAAATCCATTACCTGTAACGTCCGTTCGTAAATGTGAGGTAGAGGTAAGTAGGAGATTTGAACATCGTTTGGAACTAGTGGACGGCCATTCTAAAAACAAATTAACGCTTTCGGGAATCTAGTCGGGAAGACTTGATCAAACCTATCCTATATATTCTGAAGAATTTAATTTGTTCTGAATCAGACATTTGTTTGACAAACATGCACGCAATTACATAATTTCGATTTCGATACAAATGCATATTCACCTAATTAATGTAGAGTTTATAAACACAAATTTTATATATTAACTGGTGCAGAAAACTAAAGAAATATGCACAAACATATACTTATTGGGACTACCTCCATTTATAATGAAAAATATCGGTGTGCACCAATTCTTTGAAAGCCTTTTTTTTACCACCTAAGTAAGTTAGCTAGTTTAAACTTCCCTTTCGTGTGTAGTTTACAAAGTTAGCCAATGTACCAGCATGCCTTTAACTATAAATCATTCATACCCGTTCAAAATGTATGCGCGTCGCAGCAATCCCATGCAGTCGCTATATTCCTGTTTGTTATCATAGCTCCCTTCGGCTGGCCTACAAGACAGGTAAATAGTTGATTACTTTGTAATTGCATTATTGATTACTTTGGAATATCTCGGAAAGGAAACGCCATTAGCATTTCCCAATCGAGCAGGATACTGGGTCGAGTCCCGAACCGCAAAGCAACTAAGGACTGTTTGGAGGGACAAATGATTTCAGACTTTCCCTCCATACAGTACATAGATGCTTTGCGGTTCGTGACTGGACCCAGTACCCAGCTCGATTGGAAAATGGCTAATTAAGTCACAACAGCTTAAGCACAAAAATTAATTAGAACGCAAAATTTGGTTTGAAAATGTTGCAAAATAAGGAATGTTGCAATGTTTACAAGTTTGTATATACTTTTGT